GCAGTCAGTTCCTGACCTTATTTTGGATGATGATATTGAGTTTTACCATCATTTCTTCCCACATACCTAGTCAATTTGATTACTGTGTATTCCACCTAGTGAGGCTCACATGTATAGTCATTGTTTATGTCACTGGAAACAGATATTTGCAATTAATAATGACTGTTGTTTGTTTTAGTGCCCTTGAGGCAGTTTCAACTCCAATCGACCATGGATACATTTTCCTAGGAGCAGCTGATGGGTTTTAACTGCTGACCTTGCAGTTCAAACTGACCTTGCAGTCCAATGCTTCTCCTATAAGCGCCACACCGGAACTAGTCTTTCAAAATTCTGTTATGCAAACTCCAGCATCGTTTCTATCACCAAGGCCATATTTTCCACTTACTAAACCTTCCTCTTTGTTTCCAACACTCGCATTCAACTTACCAGTAAGTTCCAATGCATCTTGATTGCATGTTTGACCTATTTTGAACTGAAGAAGTTGGTAGAATTCTTGGCTTGCTTCATCATTGGCTTTGGTGGTTAGTGTGTAAATTTGAATTATCGTCATATTAAGTGGTCTATCTTGTAAGCATATGGGTATTTTTAAATTACAGACAGCATTGTACTTCAAGACAGATTATGAGTGCTCTTTTCAACAATTAATGTGATGTCATTCCTCTTCAATTTGTCATTCACGGTTTAGTAAAATATATAATTCTTCATTTCAAAATAGCCAATATCTGTCCATTTCAGTTCACTAGTGCCATTTGCCTGCCAGTTTCTCATACTGTGGCAGCTTGCATGTTGCTATGATGCTAGAATCTATGCCACCAGTATTTTAAAACCAGCTGGGTCACCCATGGTGAACAAGTTTCAGTAGAACTTACAGACTAAGGGAGACTCAGAAGGAGAAGGAGAGAGAGAGATTGTCTCTAAATGTTTAGCCACTGAAAACCTTTTGAATAACAGTAGAACACTGTCAGAAGCAGTGTCAGAAGAAGAAAACTTTATGAATAGCAGTAGAATATTGTCAGATATAATGCTGAAAGATGAGCTCCATATGTTGGCAAGCATTCAAAATATGATTGGGAAAGAGCTGCCTTCTCAAAGTAGAGCTGACCATAATGTCACGAATGAGCAAAGCATTCAGGACCTTCATTTGCTGATGGGTCACAACTCAAAATTGGGAGAAACCATCCATTAATCAGAACATGGAATGTACAAAGTATGAATCCAGGAAAATTGGAAGTTGCTAAAAATAAAATGGAGTTCATAAACAATATTGTAGGCATTGTTGTTGTTGTTAAGTGCCGTCAAGTCAATTCCAACCCATAGCGACCCTACATAGGGTTTCCACGGAGCAGCTGGTGAGCTTGAACCACTGACCTTGCAATTCAAATGACTTTGCAGTCTGCTGCATTAGCCCACAGCGCCACACCAGGACTCCATTGTAGGCATTAGTGAGCTTAAATGGAATGGTATTGGCCATTTTGAATATAACAGTCACATGGTTTACTATGCCACGAAGGACAGATTGATGAGGACTAGCATCCCATTTATTATCAAAAAGAACATTCAAAGATCTATCTTGAATTACAATGCTGTCTGGACCTCAAGTCCTGCATAAGCAGGAAGTGTAGCTAAAGCCTTAGCTACTTATAAACTGTCTGAAGCTTGAAGGCAGGCCTTCTCACACAGTGCCCTTTGTACAGGGTGGAAGCAAACAGAAAGGCATTTGAAAACTTTTCTGACTCATCGTTGGCTGATCACACAATTATATTCACCAAATAGTAAGCTCTAGGAAGCTAAGCTTAAAGGTAAAGATAACAAGAAGTTAAAACAAACATAAGAACTTAGTGGCCATACACTTGAAGGAACACAAAGTCTATAGAACGACAGTCTTTATCACTAGAAGTAACCAGAGGAAGACCAGAAAAGTCATCCAAGAAGTAGGAAAGAACCAATCCCCTAACCTGGTTTGCAAAAAGCAATGGAGGGAAAAATGAATGAAGTTGTTTGTTAATTGTGTCCCATATTACTATACACTGTAATAGTTTCAAGTTTATGTGCATATACTCAAAGAAATTCCATTATTCTATACTGACCTTGTTAAAAGCCTCATCCACTGTAATATAAACATTCAAATACTTCTCAACAAAGAGACTGACATAGCTTTGTCTTCCTTGATGAGCTACTTTGGACAATTCTACTTCAATGAGCTGCTTTACACTTCAGCATCCTGCTGAAGTAGAATTATTGATTAGAGAAAATAAGAACATATGAGTTTTGATTTCAAATTACCAGCATTTGCATGAAAGAAGTAAACCATCTTAGATAAGCAAATTCATTGAAAGTAAAACAACTAAATACAAGTAGAATAAATACAAGGCATACAGTTATGTATTCATAAAATAAATACGATTGTGATGTACCTGCACCTATACCATTATAACTGATTACTCACCTAACCACACTACTGTTTCCACATCCAGTTTCTAAGCACTGTATTTAGTCCTCTGATCAGCTTATATGAAAGCATGTAGTTTGCTATTGTTGTGGTGTGCTGTTGGGTCAATTCTCACTCATAACAACTCTATAAGTACTCGGGGTTTTAGTTTACCATTCTTAAAATAAACGTATGTCCCAATAGTTTTATGTTATCATTTCATTAAGAAAAATTCTTGGACTTAAATAAAATTTATGAAAAACTTGTGCCTATTCAATATTATAACTCCTGATATAAATATTTTTATAAATCACTTAAAGGATTTAAAAGGTGGCTATGAATTGGAATCGACTTAATGGCACTGGGGTTGATTTTGGTTTTATGAGAATTCTGGAATAAATTAATCTGTCTCACTTTTTGAAGCAAAAAAAGAATCTTGTACTGTTTTTCATGTAGTAACTCCTTTGCTGCAAAAATTTTTTTAAGGAGGCAGAAAACCTATATATTTACAGGTAGTTTTCTGCTACAGAATACTTGACAAAGAGAAAGAGAAAAAAAGTCACTGCCACACAAGAGGATAGTTACTTACGAGGAAAGGTTATACTATCAGATTCCTGATTGAATTATTTACTAAAGGCTTTTGTATCTGCCTGTTCCTCTTTGTCTCTCTCTCTCTCACACACACACACACACACACACACATCACTGGATGGGGCTGAAAGGAATATTACAATGTGAGGCTTTTCTTTGGAAAAAATGAGAAAAAGTTTTAGACTAATCATAGTCACCAATATTTTAGGTAGATCTGTATAAGAAGAGAAAAAAAGCTTAGTATTTCCAAGTAACCAATAAAGCTAAAACTGAAACACAAGCATAAATCATTTCATAAAACAGAAATAACTACACCCAACAGTAACCTTAAAAATGATGAAATTTGGAGAGCGACTGTGTGCTGAAGACCTGGGGGGTACAGGGGGAAGGATTGCATGGAGGGGATTGTAACCATGGCAATGAGAGACAATATACGATAGAATGAATATAAAACTAATGTTCTCCCATGTAAACTATCACATAATTCACAATAAAACATTAAAAAAAAAAAAAAGAAATTTATCATGGGTCTGGTATTATTCCGGATTAAAGAACTTCAGACAGACAAAATACAGCCACTCTCTCATCTAAATGATGTGTAGGTGGTAGACGAGTGACGTCAACTAAGTTCCAAGTCATAGCGACCTTATGTAAGGTTATAGAGTCTGTAAATCTTCATAGAAACAGAAAGCATCATCTTTGTCCTATGGAGATACCGGCAGATTCAAACTGCTGACTTTCAGATTAGCAGCCCAAGATGCAACCCACTATGATGTTGTTGCTGTTAGGTGCCATTGAGTCAATACTGATTCATAGTGACCTTATGCACAACAGAACAAAACAATCGCTGCAATGCTTGCACCCATTGCTTTCATCACGGTGTCAGTCCATCTCATTGGGGGCTTCCTCATTTTCACTGACCCTCTACTTTACCAAGCGTGATGTCTTTCTCCAGGGACAGGTGCCTCCTGAAAGTATGTTCAGAGTGTGAGAGATGAAGGCTGGCCATCCTGGATCCTAAGAAGCATTCTGGCTGTGCTCTTCCAACAAAGATTTGTTAGTTCTTTTGGCAGTCCATGGTACTTTTAATATTCTTCTCCAATGCCATAACTCAAATGCATCAATTCTTCTAAGGTCTTCTTTATTCATTGTCCAACTTTCACATGGATCTGAGGTTATTGAAAACACCATGGCTTGGGTCAGGAGCACCTTAGTCCTAAAACTGACATCTCGGTACTTGGACACTTTAAAGAGGTCTTGTGCAGCAGATTTGCCTAATGAGGAACCTGTACATAGAGCAAATAGAGCAAGGGAACGCTAATGGTTTTAAATTATGGAAGATGTGCACCAGGGTTGTAGTCTTTTACCATACTCATTCAATCTGTATGCTTAGCAAATAATCTGAGATGCTGGATTAAATGAAGAAAAATGTGGCATCATGATTGGAGGAAGACTCATTAACAACCTGTGATATGCAGATGATACAACCTTGCTTAGGGAAAGCAAAGTGGACTTAAGATACTTACTGATGACGATCAAAGACCACAGACTTCAGTAGGGATTGCACTTCAATGTAAAGAAAATAAGAATCCTCACCACTAGATCAATAAATAACAAGATAAATGGAGAAAAGATTGAAGTTGTCAAAGACTTCATTTTCATTTTGTTCAGCTCAACCATCAATATTCATGGAAGCAGCTGTCAAAAAATCAAATGACTTATTGCGTTAGGCAAGTGTACTGCACTACAATTATTAGAAATACAATTCTTGTTTTCAGACTCAGTTAACAATACCTTTACAGACAAGGAAGCTATGCTTTTCACAGGAACATGTGATCTATTTAGTTTTATAAGTGAGTATTCCATAATTAATATAATAATATAATATAAATAGATATATATATATAACATTAAAATGACAAGGGTCATTTTAAATCTCACACATTGTTCAACAACAGAGTATACAGTGGTCAGGGTGTGTTCAAAGCTGATGCATCTGCAAAAAGTTTTTCATGAAGGCTGCCAGCTTCTGAATGTCTTCGAAGGTGACAGCGTTATAGAGCGAGGTGCGGATGCCTCCCACAGACCTGTGGCCTTTCAAAGACAGCATATTGTGCTCAAGAGCTTTATCAAGAAATCTTTTTCCTAGAGCATCCTCTCCTTTGGCATTGCCAATGCAGAATGGAATATTCATCTTGCTTCTATTCTCGGGCTCCACTGGATATACATAGAACCCTTGAGAGTTACCGATGATATAGTAAATCATTTGAGATTTGACGATGCTGACCTTCTCCGTGGCTGCTGCACCGCCACTGTTCTTAATCCACTCCAGAACCAGACCCATGACATAGATGCTGAAGCATTGAGGTGTGTTGTACAATGAGCTGTTTCCAGCTTGCACTTTGTACTCCAGGACGGAGGGGCATTCCCAGAGAGC